AAAGTGCGACTAGGGATATTCTAGACATAGCCTTCGTCAAGAAGTAACAGTCTCATAATCAGAACATCGTAGTCCTCATCTATGTTACTGAAGCGCTATCGTCTATGGACTGAAGCTATGTTATGTTACACGAGATATAAAACATACTTCAAGGCCTTTCATTCATGATAAAGTGTACAGTTACATAGGTATTTGATTTCCGCTAGGGCACCTAAATACAACAGTCTTCTTGTTACCTACGAGTAGTCAACGAAAAATACAAACTACACGCTCAGCGAAACCGCTGAGTGGTACACGCTAGAATTGTAGAATAAGTCATAGACATATACATTTACATATATATGTCCACAAAAAGTATAATAATAATATTCATAATATGGCACATTATATCATATGGACAATTTGATGAATCATGATGATAAATATTTAATGATAATTACATGATGGCACATTTAATCAATTTGCTTGTGAGGATGATTACATGATACTTATGAAATCAATATACTTGTTCTTGATGATGATTACACGACACCTATGTAATCGATGTACTTGATGATGATAACATGATGCATGATTCTAACGAGCAAGGACACCCTTGCGCTATGAGATTCGCCCATTTGGTACGACGAACTCACGCGGCCTTAGTCTCTCAAGGGAGACTAGAAAGTAGGGGTGGTACTCAAAACCTGAATACCATGTACGTACACTAAGCCCGGAACGGTGATGTCGGACTAATAAGTCCCGCACATCACGCTACAAGAGACGCACTTCCGCCTGATCTCTTGCGCATGCACATGATGTGATATGTTTCAATATGGATAATGAAATGAATTACATGATATGAACAATTTGTAAGCAACATGATTGGATGAATATACTTTATTTTATTTGGATGAAATTTGATAAAAATATCATTTAATTAAGCTACGGGGCTCGGAACGGTCGACCGTTTGACGCAACGGTCGACCTTGATCTTCATCTCGTCGGGCTGGCGGAACATCGTGACTGTCGACCGCGGTTGACCGCCGGTCGACCGTTGTTGACTGGAGGAAAAATGGCGGTCTTGGCTGGGTAGGCGGCGGGCGAGCGTCAGCCACCGGCGGTCGACCGTTTGGCTAACAGTCCTGGTTCGTCTCGAAGTTTAACGTGACGGTCGACCGTTTGCGTCGACCGTTTGGGTCTGCGAATGTTTCTCTTGATGTTTTGAATGTCCAAAATACATCTTTAAGTCTTCTAAACACCTTGATTTATATATACATATTGTTGGGTTGATTTCAAATGTTTATATATACTTATGTGTGTATATATATATATATATTTATTTATTTATATATATATATATATATATATATAATACTTTATGGATTTGGTATATTTTGGTCTTATCACATATTTATTTTTGGGATGATTTCAACATATGGATTAACATATATGTTCATGTACGTATGTGATGAATAATTCGACAAGTCTAACGCAAAGGTACAGACCTGGAAATCATCGGCCGAAACCTTACGGATGAGCGAAAGTGGAAACAACATCGAAATTTGCCAACTTTGTCATTTCCGTCACAACTGGATAGCTTGCGGTAATTTAGGCATATCTCCATCGTTTCTTCACGGAATTGCAAAACGTTTGATTCTGTGGATTCCTAAGATGTAAGGCTACAACTTTTGTATAGAAAGTATTTCGTTTTAACATATGTAACATAGCGTAAACCGGACCTGAAGTCAATAGAAAGTTGCTGTCCAGAATTTCGGGTATGTCGATGAACATGATTCCGACGATTAACTTACTAACTTCAACGTTCCAACGCCGAACTTTCTCTATGATACCTTCCGAATGTTCCTAATAATTGTTAGAGAGTGTATGGTAAGTATTTGGGATGAAATAATATAAATTTGGTGAAGAAAAACATGCCAACCCGAGGAGCTCGCCACCACTGGCGCAGTCCCGGTATTTTGGTCATATCTTCTTCGTTACTTAACAAAATCGCGAGCCGTTTGTTGGGTTGGATTCGTAACATCCGGGGCTACAACTTTGGTTCAAGAAGTATTTCGAGATAATGGATGGAAAATTACAGAACTTACGTAGAAGTTGATGCTGCGTTTGGAACTCATGATTTGGAAACTATGGATGGTTTTCTTGCTTCTTCTTCTTCTTCTTGAACCAACTATGGAGGAGTTGTGTTTTCTTCTCTCCTTGAAGCTGCCGACAGAGAGAGAATGGAGAAGTGTTAAATATAGTGTTTCTATATTTAATATATTGTGTATTTATTATTGTATATACTAGTTACCATGTGTATAGGTTACCTTAATTATATGTTTCCTAACCTAACTAGGAATCTCCTAGTATATATATCTTGTATTATACACATTATTATGATTGGAAATTATTCAATCTTTCATGGTATCAGAGATTCTCTAGTTCACGGCTCTCTCCTTTCCTTTCGGCCCTCTCCTTGCCGATCATCTCTCCCCTCTCTTCCGGCGTTTTCACAGCCGCACCTCCCCACCGGCAACACCATGGCCGACGACAAAAACTCTACTCCTCCAACCAAAATTCCTCACCTTGCCTTCACCACCATCTCCAATATCAAACTCCACATTCCGGTTCAACTAAGCATCTCTGAACCAAATTACAAAAAGTGGAGCAAATTATTCCGTCTTCTTGTTCTCTGGTTCAACCTAATGGGATTTCTTGACGGCACCAATGTCGCCTCTTCCTCCGACGACGTTGAATGGCTCCAGTTTAATGCCTTACTCCAAGGGTGGATCCTTTCCACCGTCACTGACGAAGTTTCGGATCTAGTTCTCGCCAACAGCCCCACGGCTCACTCCCTCTGGACGGCGATCTACAAGTTGTTTCATGATAATAAACATGCTCGTGCAATGCAGTTGGAGCACCGATTCCGGAAAACTGTCAAGGGGACTCGAACGATCAACGAATATTGCCATCTCCTCAAAAATCTCGCCGATTATCTCGATGATGTGGATGCCCCGGTGACGGAACATGCACTGGTTCTACAAGTTCTCCAAGGTTTGCCTTAAAACATCCGGTCTCAGGTTACGTTTCTTCAATATCAAACTCCGTTCCCCACTTTTATGGAGGTCCGTTCGGCTCTTTTGCTCGTCGAACAACAAGACGACGCCACCCACGGCGCCGACTCTTCGACGGCCCTCTTTAGCACCGGGAGCAGCGGCGGGAATCCTGCAGGAGGCGGGCAGCAGCGGCAGAATGGCCCTGGTCGTGGCTACGGCAGTTCCCCTCGGAGCTTTAACGGCGGCAACCGAGGACGAGGACGTGGCCGCGGTCGTGGCGGCTCGAATCAGCGGCAACCCACCGGATCTCAACCCTGGCACTTCCCCAACCCCACACCTGGTCTCCTCGGCCCACGCCCTCACCCCGCCTACCCACCCTACCCAGCCCAGGCCCATGTGGCCCAAACCCTACCCCAACACCTGTACTACCCTACTACCCAAACCCCTGCCTACTACCCAGGTACCTACCCGAACCCCCCCACCCACAATCCTACCCCTTTCCAGCAACCCACAACTCCCACAACACCCTACCCGTACCCCTATGCAAACCCTAGCTCACCCACTGCCCTTGCTCACACCCTTGACAACCTAAGCCTAAACTCCCACCCTGCCTGGTTCATGGATACTGGAGCCTCTCACCACATCACTGCTGATCCAGGTACTTTATCTCATGTATTTCCTTCAAACATTTTTTCACCCTCTCATATTATTGTAGGTAATGGATCTAAAGTGTGCACTACGGCCTCCGGTAATGGTATCCTTAACACCAACCCTCCCCTTTCCCTTAAAAAAGTCCTTGTCTCCCCACATATTATCCATAACCTTATTTCTGTCCGTCAATTTACTCATGATAACAACTGTTCCGTTGAATTTGACTCATCCGGTTTTTCTGTGAAGGACAAACGGACGGGAGCCGTGATTCATCGATCCAGTAGTGACGGACACCTCTACCCACTGTCTCCGCCCCCAGCACACCTACACCTTGCCAAAGTCGACTTGTCCACGTGGCACCGCCGACTTGGCCACCCAAGCCCAGCAGTACTCCATGGCGTCTCCTCTTATTTAGATAGTTTTAATAAATCTCAGTTGGACTCTTTATGTCATGCATGTCAGTTAGGCAAACATGTTCGCCTTCCCTTTCAGTCGTCAAGTCGTGTATCACTTTTTCCATTTCAATTACTGCATACAGACTTATGGCAATCGCCAGTTTCTAGTATCACTGGTTTTAAATTTTACATGCTTTTACTTGATGATTATTCGCACTATCTATGGATTTTTCCCTTACGTCATAAATCTGATGCTTATTCTCATCTAGTAAAATTTAATGCCATGGTCAAAAATCAATTTCACACCACCATTAAAGCTGTACAATGTGATAATGGAACAGAATACCGAAACAACCCACTAGCCACCTTCTTTGAGTCCTTGGGTATTCTTTTCCGATTCTCTTGCCCCTACAAAAGTCAACAAAATGGGCGCGCAGAACGCACTATTCGCACTTTAAATAACACGGTCCGCACTCTCCTTTTCCAAGCAAATCTCCCCCCTCAATTTTGGGTTGAAGCCCTCCATATTGCCACTCACCTCTTCAACCTTCTCCCCACCACCACTCTCCAAAAACGCACACCTCATGAAGCCCTATACAACTCTCCCCCATCATACAACCACCTTCGTGTTTTTGGATGTCTTTGTTACCCCAATTTATCCGCCACCGCACCCCGTTCTGCGCGTTGCATCTTTCTTGGCTACCCCGAGTCTCAACGTGGTTACCGGTGTTTGGACTTAGCCACTCAGAAAATCATTGTCTCCCGCCATGTCATCTTTGATGAGTCCACTTTCCCTTATGCATCGCCACAATCCCCGTCCAATTACAACTTTCTCGACGCCATGGAGGATTGCGTTGCCCCGCACCATCATCATCTCCAATATCCAAATCCCC